TTTAATAATTCTGTGACACTTAAAAACAAAACAGTAAGAATGTGTCCATGAATTGCAAGTGTTTTTTTTTAAAAAAAAGCTGTTAAATTCCTGAGGTTCAGTTTCGAACACTAACTCTGTGGATGACTTTGTATCTTTACCTTTAGCTTTTCCTCGTCCCTCAGCAACAACTTACCTATTCAGTTTAGAGACACATTTTTCAGGAAGTCTGTCTGCCCCTCTGCCTAGTGGACATCTCCACTCAAGCAGAAGCCTTCTTGTTGCTTTATGCTCACCAATGAAAGAAGCCCAAACTGAGCTCACCTCCTCAAACTGGCTCTCTTTCCCAACTGCTGTATGCCCACCTGTCATACCATCATCATTCTCCTCATCAACAAGGACAGAAATTTTCCAGGGTCATATTTGATCTTTCTCTTTCTTGTACATCCATCCCTCATTCCAGTCAGTTACTAAACCTTGTCAGTTCGTCCTTTATAGTGTTCCGAGGATTTTCTTTCTACTCCTATCGCAACTACTCTGATTCAGCGTCTTCTCACTGGACTCCTAGAGGATTCTATTTGGTCTCCTTCTGAGTCAAGATTTCCTCTCTGGATCACTCTACCTATGGAATCTAAAATAATCCTTTTTGTGGTTCTTTTTTTTTAAGAGAGAAGAAGGAAGAGGGATAGAGAGATAGGAACACCAGTGAGAGAGAAACATCATGGATCGGCTGACTCCTGCATGTCCCCCACAAGGGATCAAGATAGGCCCTAACTGGAAATCGAACCAGGTCGATGCTCAACCACTGAACAACACAGGCTGGACAATCCTCTTATTTTACTCATTTGTCTCTTTTACTTCAAAATTTTCAGTGGGTCTCCTTATCTCAGTGTAACTTCCAGACCTCTAGAGCTGATAGTCAAGAGTTTTCTTAATCATATTTTTCACTGCTTCCTAAACCAATTCTTTATAACCAGACTGGTCTATTAAGTCCTGATCACTCCTGCAGCCATGCCTCTGTCTAGACCAGCGGTTCTCAACATGTGGGTCGCGACCCTTTTGGCGGTCAAACGACCCTTTCGCAGGAGTCACCTAAGACCATCCTGCATATCAGATATATTCCGATTTATAACAGTAGCAACATTACAGTTATGAAATAGCAACGAAAATAATTGTA